CATTGACATGGAGATAAAGGAGTGGGATGGTTTTGGGTGGAGATTTACGGGGGCGAAATTGCTGTGTGTACGATTTTCGTACGACGTGATCTCATCCATCGGCGGAATCCAACGAACGGCTTCTGACAACTGTCGTATGCGAATCGTACATTATTTGTCGTATGTGTAGCAGGGCTCTTCCGGGGGTGTATGGAGAGTTAAAAATGGATGAGAAGAAGGCGATATGAAGTCTCTTAAGAACACTAAAAAACCATAGTGACAAGCCTTGGCTGATGGCGGAGGATTTTAATGAGATCTTGTTGCAATTTGCGGAGGGCCAACCCGAGAAATTTTATTGAGACTAACATGCAGGCCCCAAATGTCATAACGGTCAATTTAATTGAGTTGACTATTATGCCATGTCAACACTTACGGGTGGGCCAATCCTGTCATAATTGAGTTTAATTTTGACCAAAGCAGTCACTAACGCTAGGTGGTAGTTTTTTGTAAAAGAAAATCTCTACTCCTAATGGAGCAGTTGGTGAATAGTCTTCACGGTTTTTTTTTCGTTGGTTTTTTTCGTCTCTCCTCCCATCACCCCCTTACATCGTTGGTTTTTTTCCGTCTCTCCTCCCACCACCCCCTCCCACCGGTTTTTCTATTTTCTCGTCTGGCCGGCAATACCCAACGTATTTATGGTAATCAATCACAATTAATCCACGTATAGTAATAAATCAATCCAGGTATGGTAAGGCCATAACTCAGGAAATTTTGAATATGATAATTATATGGTAATAAATTTAAATTACCCCAAAGGCTATCAATCCAGATATGGTAAGGCCATAACTCGGGAAATATCGAATATGGTAATAAATTTAAATTACCACCAGGTATGGTAAGGCTATCAATCCAGGTACTCGCACATCAGGAAAAAAACATACGACACGGCTCCCCTCGATCTATTTGCTAGGTCGACCGTGAAGCACGCCGCTGCTGCCATCGTGGAGCCCTTTGCCGCCTTCGACGCCGCCACCGTGGAGCCCTTCACCGCCGCCGAGATCCGAGATCGCCGACGCCGAGGTCCGAGATCGCCATCCCTTTCCGTTTCTGGTTCGCTGGAATATCTCCCTTTTCCCCATCTCCCTCTCGCGCGTCATTGCTGCCACCACCCACTACTGGCCGCCTCCGTCGGATAGAGCACCTGCGCCGGGAGGCTGCGAGGTCGTCGGCGCAGCGTCGGGTGGCTCTCCCGATCCAGGGATCGAGCGCCTGGGGCTGGAGGCGTCTACGGGATGCGCACGTGGGAGCTGGGAGGTTCTCCTAGCCATGGGATCTGGGATCCGGCGGTCGTCCACTTCTTGCATGTCACTGTTGATAGGGAAGAACAAGGATTCGTGTAAGGAGGGGAGAATCCGTGGCACGGTGATGTACGTCCGGCCGTTCGTATGGTGCGTGCATTTTGTTCAAGGCCGACCAGTTTGCAATTTTGCAGCCGAACAAATTCGCCAGCCGTGTATTCACACCCCTGGTCTCATCTCTCATCGCTTCTTGGTGGCTCCGTGGAATGCATGAAGCTGCTCACTGAGGTGCTACAATACTTTATCTTCTACTAATTGATCTCCAAGTTCCCGTTGATTGCATAAATCATACTAGGTATTTGCATTGTCGCGACGTGATGGTTATTTTTGAAGTAGCACTTGCAATGCTTGGATCGCTAGAGTCCCATAGAATTTCCACATGAATTGCGCATATTGATTTCTCGCGTGGAAATGTTACCTAGGGTGGGGCTGATGTTGATGCCGGTGGATTCAGTGGAGTGATCCCACTGTTGTTAGCGTGCAGCCGCCGTGGCAACATCAGATTCGTCAAGTGCTTGTAGAAGGCTGGAGCAGGTCCAAACGTTCCTGACCAAGTGATCGTACTGAATCCCCTTTCCTGCCATATTTCATACTCTTCAAGTACATATAGTATGACCTACACTTTAATCCTTAGCCTCGAACAAGAATGTTCTCCAGAAATTCATGCTTTCTGTACTCTGTAACAACTTGGTAGGCTGCCTATAGAAATTGCCACGGTCCAAGTTGGAAAGAAACTCATTCAACTTTGTTTCCCGTGGCTCGATGCCTTCCAAACATGTTTGGCTAGAGTGTTGCCTTACTCTTCTTCCTGCACCCAATGCTCTGCGTGCGCCCAGACCACATAGATGCCGGCGTAACCTTGCTGGCTCTTAAATATGTGTTCTTTTTAGTTTCCTTCTTGACCTGTTCTCTCAACAACGTTCTGGTGATTGATCTGTTTCCTTCTTGACAGTCACCTCTGCCTGTTTGCCGGTTTTAGTTTCCTTCAATCTATTCTGTTTTGAGCGATGTTGATTGACTAGAGCCGTCGGAAGGTTATCACCATCGTTTGGTTAAGAAGCTTGTGTACTATTTGTAAATTATTAAAGCTTTGCGCTGAAATGCAGGCCAAGATTGATGAGTTGAAGGCGAGAACAAACTACTACAATACCCAACAAATTATACAGGTGCATTTCCCTATAAATTTACAATAACATGACCTGACAGACATGCTTTATGCAGAATTGTACTAGTTAGTAGTTAGTGTATGGTTCTCCAAATCAATTTATTTGAATTATTGGCTATCTTTCCCCTTTTGTTTGTTCAAGGCTGTAAGTTGTCTCCTGATGCATGGTCCTACCATCCAATACAAATTTGAAATTTATTATATTGTTTCAGTCATGGACAATGGATTTGGTTTGCTTCTACTTATGTGCTGGATGGATTATAACACAGTTAGACTATCTAACCTTCTCAATGTTAAGGCTTTGTAAGCATGATGGGTATTTTTGCTAATGTTTTTTTAGCTAAAACATAGTGGATGGACAGAATCAAACTATAAATTTGTTGTACTAATTAATATGTTGTATTTCACATTCTCTAGACATGCTCTAGCCATATTGGTTCTGTCATTTTGATTAATTAGTGGTAGATACATATAGTTAAACTGAATAATCAACTTATTCATTTGATTTTGCTATCTTGTTTGTGCCACAGGAAAATACATGTACTGCTCATACACTTGCTGGTTGCTTCTTTAAAATAACATAAACTGAATTGGCTTTGCCCTTATCTCGATTAATGAAAGGGTACTGCTTATTCTCTTTGTACGTTACAATTGTTATCCTTTATTGAAGTGTTTAAAGGGTAATTGATATAATTTTTGATATGTTCCAAGTATGGTAAGAAAATCATGTGATGTGTCAACCTTACTGATGCAACGCAACTAGCAATGTTAGAACAGTGCCAGTTTATTTTTATGTTAGTTTCGTACCGAACAGATTCCTTTCTAGAAGACCCTGCTGTAACAGAAATATTTAAATAATATGGTAATAAGCAGGCAAATTACGTAGATATTTGGGTGTACACCCGTAGTATTAAAATCCAAATCCTCGATGGATTTATGTAGAAGGTGGGCTAGGTGGGGAGGTGTGTGGCATGGATTCCTCCTTATTTTAAAATATAACCACTCCTCCTTATTTTGAAATTCTATTCCACAAGATAGTTCTTGCTCATAGAGATGCTTTGCATGGATTCTTTAAAAAACAGAGAACGTGTCAAGTTACTGCTTTGAAAATGGGAGACAATGTTCAGTTCTAGCTTTGACATTTGTGATATCCAATTATACTCCTGTGGCTTGTATGTTGTGGCAAGATGCCCACTTACTACACCAATTCTCATTGGAAATAATACTCTTTTGTATTTGGGACCAATTTCAGTGGTGACTTAATAACTGATTTTGTAGTTTCTGCTTTAGGTTGTGAGGATGTAGACTACCAGTGTTGTTGATTGTATAAAAACGTGCAAAATGGAGGATAATTTATATTAATTCTGCGAGCACTTTCTTGTTGACAAGGAGGTATCGGATGGTTCATGATCAGAAACAAGGCGGAGTGGAGGCTCACAAGGCCCATCAAGAGGCTCGAGTCTCTAAAGATTACGGAAGTGGAGCACCGAGTCGCTCTCTTCCAACTGCAATGGTTGTTCTGCCAATGGGGAGTCTGAGATGTAGGGAGGAAT